TAAACAACCCTTTACCTATTAAAGACAAATCTAACCATTGCCCTAGCAAAATAACAGAGCATAAGAAAAGAAAAGGAAGAGTTAAGTCATACCTTAAGTCATATGACTAAACAGACTTCTGCAAGGATTGGTTGCTTTGGGAAGCAATAGCTGAGAGCCAACAAATTTACTAGAACAGATTTATTTGTTTTATTTTCCCATTAATCTATTCATAAATCACTATAACATCTTTTGAAAAGTTATTTGAATGATTGGTTTCATTTAGAGATAAAAGTCAATTAATCATGAAAAAAACAAAAACAAATGTGAAAATATTAGAGGAAATAGATTTTAAACTGATTATAAGGCCAACTTTTTAATTAATTACAGAGACAGTGTAGAGAGTGCATAATGCACATAAATAAAATTAAATGTTTAATTTGCTCTTCTTTTGAAGTCATTCTCAAAATTTTAAAATTCAATATTAGTAGTAATTTCTCAAATAAATTTAATGTTTGGGATTATACAGTCATGAAATCTGGTTGAGAGTAAGGGCAACATAATCTGTCATTTTGTAAAAATAGCTTAGAAACATGAGCATAAAATTGCCACTACTGAAATGTAAAAATTAAAAGTTAAGATTAATCTCAATCAAGAGATAAATACAACAAAAGCATAAATATGCCTTTATCACTTTGTATGTGACTTCATTTGCTGTACATAAAGTTTATCCTGCTACTGAAGGTGACTGATCCCTGAACAATAGTGTTTGAATTTCATAGTTGTGTTATATCCTGCTATAGCAACAGAAAACAACTTTGAGTGAAATTAATAATGATACTGCAATTGAGAAGCGTTGAAAAAGAATGCACTGGAAAAGGAAGTAATATTAATAATGCAGAGTGCAAAAGGTTAATATAAGATTTCTATGATAGGTATGACAGGTATTTTTTGGCATCAAGTAAAAGTGGCATCCCAGTGTATTTTAATAAATTTAGATAGAAAATAGTGTGAGTGTTATATGCTTAAATATGTTAGAAATACAGGAATTTCTTCATTAGCCAACTGTAATATACTTCATTGCCTCAATGTGGAGAGTATTAATATTAATCAGTTTTTTTCCTATTTGCATATTGCCTCAAATTTCCCTTTTCTTCAACTGCAATGACATTTTAAAAACAATTAAATTTAAAGGTTTATGTTGTGTGTTCAGTATTCACACCAGAAAATAGTAGTGGTCTGAATATAGTTGTTTTAATTGGCTCATATATATTATTTAAAATATATCACACTGAGTATTGATGCTCATAAAATATTGCTCAGTGTATAATAACAGAGGCATAATTTGGATTAATAATAAATATACATTTTTTTCCTCATTAGTAGCAAAATTTTGAGTTTCATGCACAGTGCACCAGATGATTGTGCTACTGGTGAAGCAAAAACAAAATTTATATATATATATATATATATATATTTGGTTGGATAGATGAGAGTTTGTGACCCTGAGTGCTTTCTAATAAGTACCGCGCATATATTATATAAATAATTATACATATATATATTTATTTATATTTATATACACTTTTCACACACACACACACATATATATATATATATATATATATAAATGAGATACAAGGTGTTACTCATGAGATTGGGGAATTCAATCATGAAAAAGATAAAATAAATGACCTGTCTTAAATAATGAGTTTCCACTGTCTACTTTGGACATGTACAAAGCAATCTTGGCAAGAATATTCCTCATGAATGTATGTACAAAACGCACTTTCACCGCACAAAAAAAATTAATGTAAAAAATCACCATACTTTAGGCTTGTGTTAAAGTAAGAATCTACAAACTTCTAGTTGGGACCACAGAAGACTTTAGAAAATTTCTACTAATTTTATTTCCCAAGCATATATATATATAATGAATAAATAAAAGTGGTCCTTGAAGTCAACACAGTGGTGATGGTATGTTTCATTATTAAATGTAATCAATGATGACCTGATGATTCTGCTTAAGCATGTAACAGATTGTCGCTACTGGTTGTTAACCTCAATGTCTACTTTTATATTTATCTAATTCTGATATCAAGCACTTTAACTTCTCAATATAGCTTACCTTAAAACTATAGTTTTATTATATATATATATATATATAAATATATATATATATATAAAAACACACAAACCTATCTGTATATGAAACTAATACTGGGTAATTAAATGACAAAATAGAAAACTCCCTATGTTATGCTTTGACCTTCAAAATGACTTCTCCAGACTTATGTTTTTTTTTTTTTTTATTGTGGGTGTCATATATATATATATATATATATATACACACACACACACAGAAATATAGTTTTAAAGTGTGCTATATTTATGGGATAAAGTGCTCAATATTAGAGAGAGTATATGTAAATATAAATATAAAAGTGAACATTGAAGTTAACATTTAGTGGCGACAGGCTGTTTCAGGCTAGACACAATTGTCAGGTGGCTTGATGATTGCATCTAGCATGAAACAGCCTGTCGCATCTGAGTGTTGACTTCAATGTTGACTTATATATATATATATATATATATATTAGTGGGAGTGAAGAAATATAACAAATGCCGAGTATAATTTTACATCAAGAAATGATACAGAAACACTTAGGTCTGATTATTTTTCCCATTATTAAGACCAAAAGGACAAGAAAGAGTTAAAGTTTATCAATGAAGTTGCATGTATTAAAATATTGTATGAATAAAATTTGTTTTTCTCAATGCCCAAATTGTTTCACATAAATTCAATGTCCCTACAAACAATTGTCTATTAAAAAAAGACAAATAAGAAAGGTAGAAATATTATATGTTAACATACCCAGAGAAAAAAAAATCTGCAAGGAAACTAAGAAAATACTGACCACATATTTCTTGTCCTTTTCCCAAGTTTGTGTATCAGAAATACTTGCACTGGTTGGACTTAAGTCTTGACCACAAGACTCATTCCGGTTTGGACTCTGCAAAAAATAAAAAAAAAAATAAATAGATTTATGCAAGTATACTTAAACTCATAAAATTCAATTTTATGTGAATATTTTTTTTATTTTATAATTTATTTGTACAAATATTTCTATTGTTTGGATTACTATATTTTAAACCTGTTTTCCTTTGCTTTTTTTAATCTGCTATAGACCTAAGAACAGATTTCAGGTATATCATATCAAAGGACTCAGAAAGGAATCATTTATCCCCCACCCATCAAAATAAATAAATAAATAAATAAATAAAAATAATATAGACGAGAGTAACTTTTTCTCTACAGAACAATTCACAGATCCAATTCACACAATGGCATAATTACATTTGTAATTTGTTCTTCAAGTTTGAAAAAGAAAAATCAAATAATATATGTAGAAATTCTTTGGGAAAGTCCATTAATGCTGTGTATGTTAAAAAAGATTTCAAAGTATTTCAAAGTACAAAATCATAAATGGGGGTTCCCCAATGAGGATCAAATTCCATACAACCATAACCATTTCTAACCATATACTCTTTTGCAAGGTGTTCATGTGAAAAGCCTTCAAAACCTTTTTATGCTAGAATTTTTCAGATGAGTAATCATCAGTGTTATATAACCTATTATTCTGACCAGCCTGCTTGTTTTGATTGTTTCGGCTGTTATACCACCCATCCTCCTTCAGATGTCTGTCATTGTACTTGATAACTTTGCCAGAATTTTGAACAGAACTTTTTATTCATTCCACAATTGTAGATTGTTCTCCTTCCGCTTTAAATGCTGAGGGATATTTCATATTATATTTTGTCCCTAAACAGTCTTATTCACATTTTTACCCTCCCTCCACTCACACTTAAATAGAATATATGACTTTTCAGGAATACCATGCCCAGGGATTGAACTTAGAGTTGCTAGGGAACCTGATATATTTTAAGTAAGGCTTTAATTCATTACCAAATCTAATGATGAACATCTGAGGAAGGTCAGAAGGTACAACAGTCAAAATATTGTTATCATTATAACCAAAATGAGTGGGTTGGTTAAATAATAAGAAATATAAGCCATCAAAAATGTATTTAGAAAATACTTTATAGACAGAGTCTTGCCCAAGGCTGGTGGTATTTGCATATTAACTGAAGTATTTGTCAGTTTTCTGTGGAAATTGAGTTATAATAACATCTTATTTCATGGACTGAAAGAAAAAGGAATCTCAAACATGCATTGGTCTCAGAGAGAGTTTTATACACCAAATTATATACACATATTTACATGTGTCCCACACAGAGAAACTATAAAACATGTATGCAACAACAAGCACTTTAAACAGCAGGAAAAGAGAGAGAGTCTTATTTATAATAATTCTCAATGAGAATTTGAGATTCTGGCAGATTTGTTTGTATTCCTGGAGAAACTGTATTTAGGATTGCTAGAAGAGTTTTGAGCAGGCCATATTCCACAAACCTATAATGATGAGTCATGGGTTTTTCCCAACATGAGCACAGCAACAGTTTCTGTATCTGGTGAAGATATATTCCCAAAGGAAAATGACACTATGGGATTGTGAGCTGACCCTTTGGCAGCACCCGCTGGAGAGGCAGATTTAGCCTCAACCCAGGCTGAAAAAAAAGCAAATGTTTGGAAGCTGACTGACGAACTGGCCATTTTTGTTACACTATGAAGTGATGTCACTAAGCATCCATCAAATGACCCATGTCATTTCTTCTCAAGCAAAGAGATGATTGCCTTTTGTATCCCTACAGAGTGATAGTATGTTTACCCAAATTTTCAGCTCTTCTTTTGCATGTTATGATCTAGACATTCAAATCTCTTGTTAATCTGTAATTATTATAATTATTATTTGTAAATTAAAAAATTTGTAGTCATAGCTAACTACACAGAAAATTCTAAGAAAAAAATGATTGCTTTTTTTACAGTTTATGGAGATATCCTACTGATTGAATATATTTAAAATTTTCTCATTTTTGGATTCTTTGGCTAGCACCAAAAATCATTCACAAAATTGTCTTGAAAAGATACTTAAAATAAAAAAAAGAAAAAAATGAAAAAAAAAAAAAAGAAGAAAAAATGAAGAACAAAGGATGAAAAAAAAGGAAGAAGAGAATAAAAGAAAAATGAAAGGAAGCAGTGAGATAAGAAAGAAAATAGAAAGAAAGAAAATAGAAAGAAAGAAAATAGAAAGAAAGAAAAAAGAAAGAAAGAAAAAAGAAAGAAAGAAAAAAGAAAAAAGAAAGAAAGAAAAAAGAAAGAAAGAAAAAAGAAAGAAAGAAAAAAGAAAGAAAGAAAAAAGAAAGAAAGAAAAAAGAAAATAGAAAGAAAGAAAAAAGGAAATAAAGTAGGAAAAAGAGAAGAATAAAAAATAAAAAGAGAGTGATGTTAAGCTGATACAAGGGATACAAGAATTTACACAAACTGTTTATTAAAATTATGCAAATCTGAAGAACTTGTTTATTTAGTTGTTTGTTGACCATTCTTAAAAAAACCTGAAGTAAAGCATTTACTTAATTCACCTGATAAAATAACTCAGAGTGAATGGACATATATAGCATCCACCTGACAGAATAATTTCATGGTTGTCTTGTCAGTGCCATAATGATTCTTCTTAGATCCTTAGCATCAACTCACACCCACCAGATTCTCAATGCAAGAGGAAAGCTCATCAGAACAATTATCATGAAAATATTTATAGAAAAGATAGAGAGAAGCTATGTTACAGAGGTGAGAAAGTGACTGAAGCTGAGATACCAGGTTAGGGCTGATAACATTACAAATTCTTTTGGGGATTTTGTGAAGAATCTAGCAGAAGCACCAGACCAGATATATGACAATAATATTCAATGTATGGATGAATGGTAGACTTATAAAGGTGTAAAATAGATTCTATCAAGAAAAACTGTCTAGCACGACAAATAAACCAACTTTTCTAGCAGCAGACATAGCAATTGATTCAATATAATCATTCCACTTCATGCCAGAGGAAAACGTTACCCAAAGAAGGTTCAAAGAGTCACTATCCTGGAGGATAATATCAGCCATGCTGATAGAAGGCAAAAAAGTTAAGATCATTAAAAAAAGAAGAGTTTTGTTTTGGAGGCATTAAAATTAACAAGCCGTTGCTTGCCCCAGTTAACAACAGATTGAAGGTCATTTTCAGTTGCCAATTGGATCTTATCAAACTGATCAGACTTACTATTAAGACTGGAGTAAATAATTATGTCATCAGAATAGATAGCAAATTCAGAACTGATGACATCATGAAGGTCATTGATGCTCGTCAAGTAACTTTATATTTTCCACCTTTCTTATTACATCATATTTTATTATAGAACATGATTTTGAGAGATAACTTCGCCCTTAAAATGCAAATGACTGAACAATTTAATTATTACTATCATTCAACTAATGTACTTCTCTGTTGGGCTCACTTTCACGCAAATGCTCTTGGGGGAGGTATGAATCTATCTCTTCTCTCCCCTGTTATGTGTTAATAGCAGGGTAGACTGGGCTCTCTAGCCTTAGTGAAGTCTAAATGAACAAAACTATGGAGAAGGTAAGAGGAAATCACTCTTCTGTCTGTTCTCAAAACACCTGGTAATTTATAGATAAAGAAACAGGAATCTGTGGAGAGCCATGATCACCTATATCTTGAAGGAACACAAAATTAAATAAAGAAAAAATTAAGTTGATATCTGTATAACTATGTTAATCACATTAAACAGTTTTGTATTTATCAAATATAATTTTTACACTGAAGCCCCTATTTTTCCTTGCAAATTATCAGTTACAGCAATTATTCCTTTTGAACATTTTTCTAAAGTCCGCATGTTTGAGACTATGTACTTTCCTAACATTTTATCAGGTTTTACATTAATCACTTAAAATTCAATTTAGCAATAATTCTGCAACTATCATGAAAACAGTCCAATTTAATATGACTCCATTTGGTTTATTGTGAGTAAAATTTGCTACTCTGGAAGCTATTGTCATTCATAATGTGTAAAAGAATTAAAGGATTTGAAATCCTCCCTGCAGATATGTAAACTATTCAACTTCTCCCTGATTAAAGATATAAAAGTTTCTTATAAAACCATGAAAAAAATAAATAAAGTATCTTATTGTTTTTTGCAATTCTATTTTAATTTTATTTTAAATCTTCAAATGTAATTTAGAAAAATTTAATATTTTTCATAAGCCTCCCATTCAATATGATTCAAGAGAAAATGTTCAAAATAAAACCTAAAATAAATTTAAACATTTTTTATAAAAAATTAAAGTAAAAAAAGCTAAAGTTTAGGTTATGTTTGTTAAAACTTCAAGTTTTCATAATTAAAAACTACTTATAAAAAAAACAAATAAAAATGCAAAACAGCTTGTTTGAAGGCTATCAGCTGAAATACTTTTTGAGAAACTGTACAATTTTATTTTAAACAAAAAAAAACACCAATTTTCTTTGGCATTTTACAGAAAGTTGTTATAAAATAAAATAAGACATATCTCGGCTGATTTACAGGCAAATAAACTAACATACTCAAGAGCGAGAGCCGGATGTGAACAGGACAAAGCCCCGTCACAAAATGACCATTATCTTCGTTTACACATGTTCCCGACGCACGAGTTCCGGTTGAAAAATAAAATAATATTTTAAAGTGTTTCTATTTTTTGACCAGTAAAAATGCTTACCTCCTAATTATACTTGCGTCGTTTTTCGAGCCTGTTAAGCCATAAAAAAACACCATAAAAGGGGTCACATGCAAGTACAACAGCAGTCAACAGGTGGCCAGGAAAGATACCTGTCATGGTCAGGCCGTGCGGTCAGCAGCAGCCAGCAGGACGAGCGCTACCCAACCTGTTAGAACTACTATGAGAGATCAACCCAGATCTCCAGCTGGCCTATGAACTATACCACAAGGAAGCTGTCCCAAACCCACACGTTCCTGTTGAAATAAATCACATAAATCTATTTCTGCTGTTGTCATATTTTTTTTCTTGCAACCATATGCTTGTCTATAACAAAGTTAAATTTTAAAAACATCTGTAAAAGTTTTAAAAATTCTTTGCTCCTCTTCAATACAAATTTAAAATTCTAAGTCATGTGACCTAATAAATATTCCTTTTAAGACCCTGTTGTTTTACATTTTGTGTACTTAATTATATTTATGTGAGTGAATTTTTTTTACATAATTAGATTATGAACTTTTCATCAAATAAGAAACTTTACCAATATAAAAAACTAAGCAAAAAATGCTCCAAAGACAAAGGGGTCACAGCAACATCCATATTAATAGATCTAGTTTGTTTTTAGAAATGCAAAAATTTTACCTTTTTTGGTAATATTTAAATTTAGCAGGAAAGGAAAAAAAAAAACAAAAAAAAACATTTTTAAAAAAATGATTCAGGAAATAGGATATTTGCTAAAACTTTAACACTTATTGCTAACCACTGCCTTTGAATATCTGATGACAATCATCATTTATCTAAGTTTAGAATCACTTTCAGATGTGAACAAAATATTTGCCTTTTTTGGGGGTAAAATTACCAAACTTTCTTGATCAAATAAAAAGTAATTATTCTTTTTGAATTCCCTTCTTTCATCATTTGTGTTGAGTTTCTTCTGTGCATAATTGCTTTAATTATAAAAATAAAATCAATTATTCAATATCTGCAATTAATGAGAATACAATCAATAACTTTGCACAATGTCCAAAAAGTAGTTGTCATTCTATACGGAAAAGACAATTGCTAAGTGGAGCTATTTTATACTTGCTATATCTTTTTTTATTTTCAGTTTTTTGGGTTTTATCTCAACAGATGAATCATTTTTTTTAATAAACAGTTTGTGTTGATAAAACTTATTTTGAAATAATTCTATTGTTTCAATGTAGATTTAATTGTACTTTCAAATTTATATGCACTGTTCTTATTTAGCTACAAGAACACTATTTTGTTTAGTTTTGTAAATAAGATATTTTTCATTTTAATGTTGCATTGTGGTTAGTTTTTAAAAATTTGTTTTATCACCTGCTCTACAGACAAATTGTATTTATGGAGACTAATTAGGACTTCATAAAGACATTGTGGCATTATGGTGACTGTAGTAACAATGGTAATTAAAAAGATATTGTTTTGGTTTAAGTAATTTTGTAGTTTGTTTGGGTCAGTGATTGTGGCTATCTAAGTTAAAGACATGACAGTTGAAGATCAGCCTTCCCCACCCCTACTTTTGGCCTTGTGCCACATTTCTTCTAATTAAACAAGAATAAATATAATCTATTTAGCTACAAACAGAGGAAAAAAAAAAAAGAAAGAAAAGAGGAAATAGTAATTTGTTTAATTTTACAAATTTATGAAGAAACTGTCATTAAGTAGAGAATAAAAATATGGATTGTAAGTATATTTCACTCAGAAGTAGGCCTTCATGAAATCAACATTTTTTTTCATTGCACTACAACCTTTTATTCTTATAAATTAAAAATCTTGCATATATATTGAGATCATTTTCATTAATGTGACTTAGACATTTTTACAGTAAAACCTATCACTTATTTTTAAAAATAGCAAAGTTATTAAAAAAAAAAAATCATAATAATCTTGTGTTAATAGTTTTATTTTTATCAGCCCACTTTTATTAGACATATTTTCATCTGAGTGTTTTGGGTTTTTTTAGAACAAAGGGAAGTGAGACTAGTGAATACCACAAGCAGAAAATATGCAAAGTTTGGAGTCAAAATGGCATCTTTTCTTTTACCAATAATAAAAACTAAAGAAAGATTTTTAAAAAGAAACTTAAATATTACTGATATAAATGCAAATCAAATAGAAATGAAAATGGTATCAGTATAATAATTATTTGAGATCAAAATAAAATTAAATTTGTGCATAAAGCACACTTTCTAGGTTTGGATTTTTGTTAGATACAAAAGTTCTTGTATTATACATAAATATTCAAACTGATTGTCAGTGTCACTTAAAAACATATCAAACAGACAATAGTTTAGAGGTCAAATACTAGTGAAATAATTTAACAATTTTGTTGACTTGTATCAGCAGAAATTAACAAGTAGATACAGTGGTCCAGTTCTTATGCAAGTCTCCTCTTATAAACAGTCAATCAATTTTGCTTGGTAAAAAAGACAAGCAATTTTAATTTACTTCTCAAAAGTAACCATCCTATATATACACAAGATGCATTTTCATGAGTTTTATTTTTAACTTGCCTAAAAAGGACAAAAGAATCTAAAATTTAGTTTATTAACTTAGCAATTTCTAAAGGATTAATGAATTTTTTTTAATCCAATATTTTTATAATTTCAAACGTTATTATAGTGGATACTCGTATTTGAAATAGATGCCCCATTTTTATTTTAAATAGCATGTATTATGT